GGATGAAGGTGCTGACCTCTCCCGACTGCAGGTGGTGGGGCGAGGGGGGGCGGGCCTTGCAGCTGTCACGGTTAATGAATGCCACCTGTGAGGTGATTCTCAAAGTAGAAAATTTTCTCTCGGATCGCTGGGAGCAAATTGTCTGTAAACAGTCCCATCTTGGGACACAGAGATGGTGTCTGTGTCCGGGACAAAGGCACAGAGAGCCAGGAGAACATATTCGTTTTATTTTGTAGAGAGAAGATAAGTGGTCAGGTACAGCTTAAAATGTTTGGAAATGTCAGGATTGTAAAATGATTTTCTAATCTAACGTATCTGTTTTAAGAAGCTCACACATGCGATGTTGGGGGGTGGGGGTTCAGATTAAATAAATTTAGCCCAGACTGCTCAGTGAGTGCCAAGGTAGAGCTGATGAAGCCCAAATTGTTAAAATTTACCATTGAAATCACTAGTCAGGAAACATTAGTTTATTCATTGTTTTCCATTAAGATGTTTTTATTGCCCTGGCTGGTGTGCTCAGTGGTTAGAGCACAGGCCTGCATTGGCCAGCACACCAAAGTGTCCCGGGTTCGATTCCCCATCAAGGGCACATACCTGGGTTACGGGTTCAATCCCTGGCCCTGGCCGGGATGCGTTCAGGAGGCAACCAATCGATGTGTCTCTCTCACATTGATGTTTCTCTCTCTCCCTTCCTCTCACTCTCTCTAAAAATCAATGGAAAAAATATCCTGGGGTGAGATTAATAGCAACAACAACAACAACAACAAAAATTGTTTCCTTTTTACGGCAAAATATACTCCATTGCTACCAAAGCTTTTTTATCCACTCATCTACTGAGGGCACTTGGGCTGCTTCCAAGTCTCGGCTGCTGAAAGCAAGGCTGCAGTGGACACAGGGGTGTGTATTCGTTTGAGGTTCCGTCAGACACAGCCCAAGTTTTTCTAACCACTTTGCTGTACACTGGAAACGAATACAGATTCATTTTAAAAGTAAACTGTGCCCTGGCCGGTTTGGCTCAGCGGTTAGAGCGTTGGCCTGCGGTCCAGAGAGACCTGGGTTCAGTTCCCGCTAAGGGCATCTACCTTGGTTGCAGTTTGTCCCTGGCCCTGGTTGGGTCGTGTGTATAGGAGGCAGTCACTCGATGTGTCCCTTTCACATCGAGGTTTCTCTCTTTCTCTTCCTCTCTCTCCCTCCCACTCTAGCTGAACAAAAAAAATGCAAAAATGTCCTCAGCTGTGGATAAAAAAAAAAAAAAATTAAATGTAAACTGTAATTGCAACCATTTAAAAAAGATATTTGTTGATTTCCTCCAGTAAGTGCCCCTGTTTTGCGGCAGGAGCGTGTTCAGATCTTGGAGTCTGCTGCTTTGCTAGACCCAGAAGTAGGTCTCCTGTCCATTACCATGGAACACTCACGACTTCCTGACTTCTCCATTTCAGCTCCGCTGTGTCTTCCTGGATTTACCGCCAACCTCTTCCCCTAATTGACCTAATCTCTCTGTGGTTTTCCTCTGCACACACTCCGATTAGCTCAGGCCAGTGGCTCGGTTTTCAGCAGGGTCTGTTGTGTTCCTTTCTCTGGGCAGTTGATGAGCCACGGAAGCAGTTTGAGGAAGCTGACTTGGTTAGCATTCCAGTCTCCCTTTCATTGCATTTGTTTATTTCATAGTCTCATCTTTGAAAGCATGCTCCAAGGCTCTATGAAGGTATGGAGTATACAGAGGTCATGAGAGGCTTAGCCGTCTTGGGCCTTTTCCAGACTCTACTTCACATTTCCGTGGTACCTGTCTGCCTGCCTTCACTTCGTCCTTTCTCCCTTGCATTGGCTGTTTTTAAAATGTTCATTCATTCTCTCATTCATTCATAGCCACATGATGTTCACTAGGCCGTCATTTCTAAGTTTTTCATCTTGCCCACTGTGTCCACTCATCATTTTTAATTTTCTGTGCTCTAGTGGTGATAAGTTACTTTTCATCATTCTCTCCTTAGATGTGGCCCTAATTTATTTTTTCTTGATATAGAGTCGTCTTCAGTACTTGTAGAAATATTAGAAGCTTCAAATAACAGCACCTGCATGTCTTCCAGTCACTATCTGACCCCTCCTGCCCCTCCCTTCCTCCCTCCCTCCCTCCCCTCCCTTCCCTCCCTCCCCTCCCCCTTTGGAACACACCTGGCCCCATACATAGTTATGAGGACATTATTGATTATATTCCCTAGGCTGTACTTTACATCCCCTTGACTATTTTGTAACTACCAATTAGTACTTCTTTTTTTAAAACATGTTTTTTAATTGATTTTAGAGAGAAAGGAAGAGAGAGGGAGAGATAGGTAGAAACATTGAAGAGAAATATTGATCAGCTGCCTCCTGCACGCCCCCTACTGGGGATCAAGCCTGCAACCCGGGCAGGTGCCCTGACCAGGAATCGAACCGGGACCTCTCAGTCCCTGGGACCACACTCAATCACTGAGCCACAGCCGCGGGGCCTCTGGGTGCCTTCTATAAGGGCGCTAATCCCAGTCATGAGGGCCGCACCCTCCTGACCTGATCACCTCCCAAAGGCCCCCCTTCTAAATACCATCATAGTGGGGGCTAAGTTTTGACATATGAATCTGGGGGGGGACACTGTACTGGGGGGTGGGAAGGACGGTCGGCACTTTGTCAAGGAGAAGACTGAGCTAAGAGACTGAGCCGGCCAGTGGGCGTCACTGGGGGGTGGGGGGACGAAGCGGGGACCCACTCAGGGAACGCAGGCGCCCCCTCCTGCCGGTTTGCGGGAACGCAGGCGCCCCCCTCTGCGGGTTCTGCGGGCTCAGCGGGGGCCGCGCGCGGTGATTACAGTTCGAGGTGCCGAGCTGCCGCGCTCCGCAGAAATCCCGGCTCTCTAATGAGGTTTCAGCTGGAAAGAAGAAAGCGTTTTAATTAGACCCGTTGTAATCAAACTCCCAAAGCACAGAAGCCTTTCTCCGAGAAGATGAAGACGCCAACTGAAGGAAAGCCAGCCCCCTCGATGCACACGGGCTAATTTCAGGCCACTGAAAAGAGCAGAGCCCTGCCCTGGCCGGTTTGGCTCCTCGGTTGGAGAGTCCCGGGTTCGGTTCCCGCCAAGGGCTCGTACCTCATCCCCGCCCCGGTTCGGGTCGTGCGGGAGGCAGCCACTCAATGTGTCCCTCTCACATCGATGTTTCTCTCTCTCCCCTCCCCCTCCCTCCCACTCTATTGGAACAAAGATGGAAAAATGTCCTCCTGTATGATTAAAAAACAAAAATAGATCCTTCATAAATCAAGGCCACAGATATTTGTCCTAAAAGAGATGCTCAGTGCTTTCGCATGATGTTGGAGATTGAACTGTTTCTAGAGAACTCTGCAATCCAGATGGGTGGCTCTGTCAGGACTGTCTGCTCCGTAGACAATGGAGAAAGGTTAGCTCTACAACTTTTCCATCAAAAACCTTGGCATGATTTATTTTGCAAAATGGGATTTTTTTCCCTACAATCAAATTGGCAGCTTCTTCCAGACACGGCCCCAGCCTGGGACCCTGGGCTTCATCCCCTGTCCCTCCACAGGCAGCCTGTCTCTGCAGGATTCTACCCCAGACCCTCACCCTTCCCCAAGGCGCCCAGGGTGAGTGGCTGGGGCAGGACACGGAGGAATCAAAGTCTCGGCAAACTCCTTATACATTCAACACATTTTTGTTTTAATGAGCAGCCGCATCTATTTCTCATTTGAATTCCTGTTCTCTGGCCACACCCCTGCAGATGCCACATCTCTCTGCTGTGGCTGTGCACCTGTGAACCAGGCCAGACGGTTCCTGGAGGACCTCATGTCCCCGCTCCTGGGCATGTCTGCAGGGGACCATCAGTAAGCTCTTTCCTGGAGGGGGGGACGGCTGGTTCTCCAGCCCTTGGGGTGGGAACTGAGCACAGTGCTCTCGGTCTTGGGGGAACTCGCTCTCCGGTCATCATGTGTGGCATCTACCTGGCCACGTGGGGCTTGGCCAGCCGCACGGAAAAGCTGGGTGCATCCCAGTTGGTAAAGGCCGGTCAACGTTGACGAGTGTCTCTTTCAGATGCCCTGTGCCGGGGCAAAGCCGCAGCTGGTACACTGCTTGGCGCCCTCTGGATGCCACACCTAGGCAGTTCGCAGACAGTGGCCAAGGGGCTCTTGGGTGAGCCCCACATTGGCTCCTTTTAAAAGTCCATCTCTTTGCTGACACTTAGTTTGCTCACCGGGACGTATTTGCAGGTGTCGAGGGCCTTGCACATGCGTGGTAGAGAGAAGGTGAGGGAAGAGCAGACCCTCGGGGACTGGTCACAGTTTTCATTCCCTTTCCTGGGAGGGCAGCATAACATTTTCTAAAATCCTTATTTGAGGACACTTTTCTATTTATCTTCAGATAGAGTGGGAGGAGGGGAGAGAGAGAGAGAGAGAAACATCATAGGAGAGAGACACATTGACTGGTTGCCTCTCGCATGACCCGACCAGGGCTGGGGATGAACCGCAACCTTAACTGGAATCGAATGAATCCGCGACTCTTGGGCCCGCGGGCCAGTGCTCTAACCACTGAGCCACCAGCCAGGGCAGCATAATATATTTATATTTGTTGTAAACTCTATACATCCTGGTAAATACATTCAACATGTAAAAAAATGGAACTTTGCGCCCAATATAATTTTTTAAGTATATAAATTATTTTAAAAATAGAAAAATAACCTAAACCATTAGCAGGTGTCACCTCCAGATGGTGGGGTTGCAGGGCTTTGCTTTCTATTTTATACTTTTCAGTCTTTTGTAAGTGCTTTGTAATATGTGTGTGTGTGTTCCCTCCAAATGAAGAGAAAAGCTGAATTCTGGGCAACGTAGGCTTGGAAGCCTTGGTGGGTTCTCATCTCCCAGTCCCAACAATCGGCTTCTTATATGAGTGATGGTATCATCCCCTCTTTTCAACACCAAATAAACCATCATTACAATTCTTTTCTTTTCTTTTTTTTTTTTTTTTGAAGGACGAGAAGAACCAAGTTCTAACCACCAACATTTGGCTGCAGATGGTGAGTTGAGACAATGGCCGTCCTCGCCCATGCATGCCCCCGATCTTGCTTCTCAGATGCGTGTGTGTGAATTGTGGGGACAGCGGGGGTCCCTTGAGAAAAGCCGACTGCTGCCCCACTGCACAGGTGGCAAGGGGAAAGTGGGAAGCCCCGCCTTTGGAGGGGTCATGCTTGCCGGTTCACAGCAGGGTGATTTGGGGAAATTTCAAAAGCGCTTCATGCAAGACAAGTAATGAGATTCGGGTCTGCATTTAGGTGCCGCACCCCAACTGGTCCCCAGGACTCGGGCGCCTGCCTCGCTCTCCGTGACTCTGTCATGGATTTTCACGTTGACACCTCAAATCCCAACCTAAACTTAATAAATTGCAAATGAGGCCACGTCCATCAAAATTGTAAATATCGGCATTTAAGAACAAAACTGAGTCTCTGTTTCCAGTGGACTCTATTGGAGTGGCATCTGATTGGACGCCTGTATCACTCATTAGGAGAATATAGACAGGCCTTTTTTTTTTTTATGCTCACTCGAGGATATTTTTGCATTTTTATCTTCAGATAGAGCAGGAGGGAGGGAGGGAGGAAGAGAGAGAGAGAGAGAGAGGCAGAGAGAGAGAGAGAGAAACATCAATGTGAGAAAGACACATCGAGTGGCTGCCACCCACACGACCCCAACTGGGGCGACCGAGGTACATGCCCTTAGCGGGAACCGAACCCGGGACTCTCTGGTCCGTGGGCCGACGCTCTAACTTCGGAGCCAAACCAGCCAGGGCTCTTTTTTTTTCTTTTAATTAAATTTGTTGGAATAACCTTGGTTAATAACATGATACAAATATCAAGTGTGCAACTTTATGATACGACCTCTATCTACTCTTACCAACCGAAGTCCGGTCTCCTTCCTTCACCATGTACTTGACCTCCTTTACCCCCTTTGTCCTCCCCCACCCCTCTTCTCCTCTGATTTTGTTGTCTGTTCCCATGAGTTTGTTTGTTGCTTTATGTTTTATATCCCACATGAGTGAAGTCACATGGGTCTTGTTCTTTTCCATCTGACTTATTTCATTTAGCATAATCCTCTCAAGATCTACCATGTTGTAGCAAATGGCAATATTCATCTTTTTTTGTGGTTGTATAGTATTCCGTTGTGTATATGGACCACATCTTCATCCATTCATCCATCAGAGGACACTTGGCTATTGTCCCCTGGATCTTGGCTGTTGTAAATAATGCTGCAATGAACCTAGGGGTGCATATATCTTCACGAGTACATGTTTTCAACAGACAGGCCTTTCTTTAATGGTCGATACTTTCCATCACCCCTTCTTGTCTATGCGTGTCCGTCTTGACTCCTTTCCATGGGGAATTTTATCCTCATGTGACATAATTTTATGTTTGAGAGTGTTTTGTTAACCATTCTGTCTCAGTTCTCTCAGGAAATAAGTGTGAAAATTTTTATTATTATTATTATTATTATCCTCACCCGAGGACATTTTTGCATTTATCTTCAGATAGAGTGGGAGGGAGAGAGGGGAGGGGAGAGAGAGAGAAACATCGATGTGAGAGAGACACATCGAGTGGCTGCCATCCACATGACCCCAACTGGGCCAGGGACAAACTACAACCGAGGTACGTGCCCTTAGCGGGAACCGAACACAGGACTCTCTGGTCTGTGGGCCGATGCTTCAACCACTGAGCAAAACCGGCCAGGGCTAAGTGTGAAAATTTAGTACATAGTTCTCTCCAAGGTGTATGAGCTGATGTTGATCTTGTTCCTCTGGAGAGAGATGCCTAATATGTTCATGGAATATATCTGGTCATGGGCAGGTCTCGTCCCCTGGTGCCTATATTTCTTAGTCCTCAGTAAGTGATTGATCTTCAGCAACATGTAAGATTTGGTGCTCTGGCTGAGTGGCTCAATGGTTGTAGCATCATCCTATAAATCAAAAGGTTGCAACCCTGGCCGTTTGGCTCAGCAGTTAGACCATCAGCCTGTGGACCAAAGAGTCACAGGTTCGATTCTGATCAAGGGCACGTACCTTGTTTGCGGTTCATCCCCGGCCCTGGTTGGGTCATGTAGAAGGCAATCAGTCGACGTGTCCCTCTCATGTTGATATTTCTCTCTCCCTCTCCCTCCTTCTCACTCTATCTGATGATAAATAGAAAAATAAATATCCTTGGGTGAGGATTAAAAAAAAAAAGGTTGCATGTTTGATTCTTAATCAGGTCCCATACGAGAGGCAACCAATTAATATTTCTCTCTCACATCAATGTTTCTCTCTCTCTCTGTCTCTAAAAAAAAAAAAAGAAATCAATGAAAACCTCGGGTGATGATTAAAAAGAAAAGATCTGGCCCTGGTCGGTTTGGCTCAGCAGTTAGAGCATCGGCCTGCGGTCCGGAGAGACCCGGGTTCAGTTCCCGCTAAGGGCACGTACTTCGGTTGCAGTTTGTCCCCGGCCCTGGTTGGGTCGTGCGGGTGGCAGCCACTAGATGCGACCCTTTCATGTCGATGTTTCTCTCTCTCTCTCTTCCTCCCACGCTATCTGAACAAAATATGGAAAAATGTCCTCGGGTGAGGATTAAAAAGAAACAAAAAACAAAAACAAAAAAGAAAAGATTTGGTGTTTTTTTTGTTTGTTTCTTTGTTTTTGAAGGGTGTTGGTTTTCCAGAGAAATCAGGAGCTGCATGATCACACGCTGTTCGAGTTCATTTGCTCCATAATAAGCATCTTGTTTCGGAGGATGTCACCAGAGACTCGAATCTCTTCCAAGCACAGCTTAGTTCTAATTAAGACTTACTCTTGCAGAAGCATCTTGCATGACCCTGGTTCTAAAACTCATTTCTTTAATCTCATTTACTTGTTCCACCCATTTTTTCGAGCACCTGAGTGGGAGCCTGGACGTGGACCACGGGAGGGGACCCAGGGATGGATGCAACCCAGTTTCTACGTCCACACACTTACAGCCGGGCTGTGTACTTTGCAGTCGAAAAGAAGGTTAAAATATCAAGACCAAAGAACTCCCTGTCGTGGGAGGCGGTGTGGACCGCGGGTGTGCTCCAGAGAAATGGAGCCTCACAGGCCTGAAGGGGAGCCGAGAAGGGGGCCGCACTCAGACGCCGAGTGCGAAGGACCGAGCACTGGTGTCCCAGGAGTGGCGTCGCTGCCTGACGCCTGCTCCCAGGTGCACCGTGGGGAGCACGTGCCAGGCGCCTTCGGGCGTGTGTGACACCTTTCCCTGGAAGGCCACCCCTGTGGCTCTTGTCGCAACTGTGATACTGACTCCCGGCTGAATTTTAAGGAACCACAAGTACCTTGGGGGTTAGAACAAACCGCAGGCACCATTTCATCAAAACCTCTGTCCAGTTTCCATCTGGAAAACTGGATTTCCACAGAGGCCACAGCCTGGCCCCGGGGACGCAGATGTTCCACGCCAGGCCGTGTATAAGACAGCTGCCACCAGGATTCCCGCTCTGTGGGTTGTGCCGCTGGGCCCGCACCGTCAGCCTGGCTAAGGCCGAGCCCTGGAAATCGGGCTCCCGAGCTTCATGTTGCCGAATTCCCGTTCTGAGCGTCTCAGTCCACAGCGTGTGCTCCAGGACAGCTCAGGCCAAGGCCCTGCAATGCTAGACTTTTCTATACATTCCAAACCGAGGAGGCAGGAAGGTAACAACGAAGCACAATAAATCCTTCCTGGCCGGCAGCGTATTGATTTTGGTTCCCATCCCCTTCCTTGCCCTTGATTCTGGGTGACTTTCCAGTTCCTCAGCCCGAAGCGGGAGAAGGCGGCTGATCTCCATTTATCTCTTTATAGTTTTGGAGGAAGCAGTTGGTGGATCTTCTCTGTGCCTTAGTTTTATTGTTTCAGAAGGCCTGCCAGACATAATCTGATTTAATCCACGAGGAGAAGCGGCAGAAGCATTTCGGGCCACCAGAGGCTCTCACGTGTGCCCTTGGAAAGTGGGGGACATAACAGTGTCAAGAATAACCAACAATATCTGTCTTCTCTTAGTTTGCAATTGCGATCATTCTGGCTCGAGGGGTCCAGTCCTTCCAATATTATTCTCTGTTTCCTACCTCCTAATTCTCATTAGGAACCTCATAGCATTCCCACTGAGGATGTTAGATGGTAAACCGTGTTTCTTTCTAAAGGTAAAGCATTTGCCTTTTTGTCTCTGAACCCACTTCACACATTGTGCTCACAGACACGCTTGCTTGCGGCCCTGACAGCAACCCCGAGCTAAGGGTGACACTTTAATCATTGCGTCACACTGAGAGAAAACAAAGTTTGGGGCCAGCGGGAAGCAGAGGGCGACTTTCTTCCTCTGATCTCAAAACAGCTGGGAGGACTTTCCCCGAACACACGTGCGTGCAGAGTTCTCGGCAGCAAATATGTGGTGTTGTCTGTAGCAACGACCGATTATCTGGTTTTCTGGACACGAACTGGATGTCCCCTCTTGGCCCTTGCACCTTGATTCGGGATTTTATCACCAAGACCCAGTGTGCATTTTGGGGTCACGGCGTCAGAAGCACTATCCCTGCGTGAAAATAAGAATTCAAGCCCCGAACAGGCATGAGGAGTTCCTGAGACAGCCCCTTGCAGCTGCGGGAAGTTGCACCATGGGCATAAATGGTCTATGTTTTCCCAAGCCTGGTTCTTATTCCAGTGGAAATAAGTGAATTCGTGTTTGCGAAGCATCCTTATGGAATACGGCAAAAGCAAAATATGTATTTGTTTGGCTAGAAAACACTGACCTTTCAGGGAGGGGAGGGCTGGGACCCTCAGTGAGCTGAAACTAACCACATGCTTCCTCTGAACAGGGTCATGCTGACGGCAGGGTCTTAGACGTGATTTCAACGTCATGCGTGGTCCTTTAGGAAGGGATTATTTAATCCCCTGCTTCTTTACATTTGTAGATAGCCACTCAATCATGTGACTAAGTGTCTGAACTCTTTTTGGGTCCGAGCTTGCCCGGCCGGCTCCCAGGCCGGTATCAGCAGGTAAGCACCGTTCCCTGACGTCACTGTGTGTCAGTCTTGGACAGATCACTATCTGCAATGGAACACGTCGGAGTACCCGGGCGTGAAGACGGTCCGCTTCCCCGACGGCCAGATCTGGAAGCCAGACATCCTTCTTTACAACAGGTAAGACACTGGCAAGAGGAGAAATGAGTCTTCTGGCCCACGTGGGCGATCTTGTGTGTTTGAGTGCTGTGTGGATACGCCTGATGCGTCACCGATCCTCTGGCCCATTGCTCCCACGGGCTTCGTACGTGGCTCGTGGGGAACCGGTTCACTACACCTTGTCCGCTTCAGGTCGCAGAACCTGGAAGACGCTGGGTGAGGACTTAATTGTGCAATGAAGGTGAGGGCTGAAAGGTGTGGCCCCTAAGCTGTGATAAAGCCCATAGGAGGGGACAGAGCAGAGACCTTATCCAAACACAGTGATCTCCTTACCCTCTGCCGCCATTCGCTGGACACAGGTGACACCCCCTCACCTTACACCTGCTACTCACCAGCCACCAGCCAGGTGTTTGCTTTCAGCTCATCCACATGCTGACTCTCTCCCCCTAGAGCCGCTTACCGGACCCCTCTTGGCACGGATGCCTGCCCATCTCACGTTCCTGGGACCTTGGCTTGATGCCCTGTCCTCCCCAGTCCCAGATGAGTCTCTGTCACATGCTGTCCCCCATAGCTCGGAGGGTCTGCCCCCCGTCTCGGCACAATAAACATGTGCACGGACGAGAACAGAGGGAGGTGGGATGCAGGGATGAGGGGGTGCAAAGGGGATGGATCCCTGCGATAACAGCTGAGTGAGAGAAGGAAGAAGAGGAGAAAAATCCTAGTGGCAAACTAGAAAATAGGTAACTGTGACTGAATCCAAAAATAGACACGGGAAGTAGCAAAACCAGCTTGAATTTAATGAGATCCTGACCTTCTGATATTCCGTTATTGGGGGTTTGGAGAAATGTTGAGCTTGACACTTTCCACCAGCTCCGGGAACTCAGTGCAATGTTCTCTGTGGGCTCACGTGATGTCTCATTAGTGTGTGGGGGATGCTGTTCCTTAAGCAGGGGACATATCACCCTGGGTCACCCGTGGCTTTGAGCGGAGCATCAGGTGCTGGCTGGTGTGCTCAGTGGTTAGTGCATCAGCCCGTGCACTGATGGGTCTCAGGTTCAATTCTTGGTCAAGGGCACACACCTGGGTTGCAGCTTCCATCCCTGGCCCTGCTTGGGGTCGTGCAGGAGGCTACCAATTGATGTGTCTCTCTCACATCGATGTCTCTCTCTCTCTCTCTCTCTCTCTCTCTCTCTCTCCTCCCCCCCCCTCCCTTCCTTCCACTCCCTCTAAAAATTAATGGAAAAAATATCCCCGGGAGAAGATTAACAAACAAAGAAAGGAAGGACCCTCCGTTCAGGGTAGGGGAGGCATCCTGTCCTGTCCGTCACGCTCCCTGCCCTATTCCAGCTGGACATGAGTTGCAGCGGGAGCGCTAATGGTTTCTGAGATGTAATACATCCCCCGCGCCGTGGAGAGGCTGGGTCGCTGCAAACCCATCTCTGCGCCGCCTGGGCCACGCTGCTTCATCTCCCTGATGGATGGCGAGCAGAGCTCGGTGCTGCCAGCCAGCTGGCCGGGTGCCGGAGGGGAAGGTGGCGCTGAGGAACGCGCCTGCCAGGTGCTGAGCCCAGGAGTTTCTCGCTCACTTTGTGCTGCTTTACCTTAAGCCTGCGGTTCAAGGATTTTTCTGAACACCCTCCCGCTCCGAGTGAGCAGCGGGGTGGGGTCCCCTGTGGTGGTGTCCGTGAGCCTGGGCGACAAGGGCACGTGGGTGGAGGTTTGCAGTGTGAGACCCCGACAGGGGAGACGGCTCTGGACCACTTGGTCTGCACCTGGAGTTGTGCTTATGAGCAGGTTGTTTACCATCTGTAGGAACTGCCTGACCCTGGCAGGTGAGAAAGGGGGACAGTTCCTTTGAGGTCAGCAAGGTCCCCTGGGGTCAAAGAGCACAGAACACGAAGGACACATCTAATGGGGCTGCTGGGCTCGTTGTAGTTTCCCTGTTGTCTCCCCACGAATTAGAGTGGGTAGCTCCAGGGTGCAGGAGGTTCTGAGCATGGGCAGGGAGGTGCTAGGGTGCATTTATTTTTTATTTTTATTTTTTTATCCTCATCTGAGGACATTTTTCCATTTTTTGTTCAGATAGAGTGGGAGGGAGAGAGAGGAAGAGAGAGAGAGAGAAACATCGATGTGAAGGGACACATCGAGTGGCTGCCACCCGCACGACCAACCAGGGCCGGGGACAAACTGCAACCGAGGTACATGCCCTTAGCGGGAACCGAACCCGGGTCTCTCTGGACCGCAGGCCGACGCTCTAACCGCTGAGCCAAACCAGCCAGGGCGCTAGGGTGCATTTATTTCACATCTGTACCGGTCATCGCTAATCACGGAGCCCAGGGCCACTCTGGGGCCCTTGGGTGCCCAGCTGCCCCCTGCACCTGCAGCGTCGTTCATTTGGGAGGCATTTGTGAAGCAGCCCCAGGAATGGGCCCTTTCAAGAGCCTGGAACTGAAGCTTTGAGCACAGCGGGTCAGGATGCTGCCTCGTGGGGCTGACAGGCAGGGTGCTCTCGCCCTTACCCCTGCAGACCGGTGACGTTGCCCACCCACTGATGTACCCCCTCACTGTCTTCGGGTTCCATTTTTGTCGAGAACTCTGTTTTAGATGCGTATGAAAAAAATCAGTTTACGTGAAATGGGGTGGATATTGGCCCCTTTGAACCGTCTCTGCGATCTCCCAGGTCAGCAGCTGGTCATGCTCGTAGACCAGGGCGGGTGGCCGGGCACAGCAGTGCCAGCTCACGAAACCCTTTCTGCTTCCAGTGCCGACGAGCGATTCGATGCCACGTTCCACACCAACGTGCTGGTGAATTCTTCCGGGCACTGCCAGTACCTCCCTCCAGGTAAGGGCCCTTCCTTCATCCTGCAGTCAGACAGGTGGAGTTGGGGGTCAGTCCTAGGCTGCTCGCAGGAGCTATGGGCCAGCCCTGAGCTCTGAGTCCGGGCTGCTCCCCAGGGGTCGGGGCAGTGACTGTGCCGAGCGGCCTCCTGGGGTGAGCGCTGAGAACCTGTGTGGTGCTGGCCCAGCGGCTCAACAGGGAGCTCACGAGTGACTCCCTTCCCCGTGGGTGTCGCGCCTCTCAGCCCGCCGATGGCCAGCCGCTTCCTGGGATCGATCCTTCCTCACCAGCCCATCATTTCTGTGGACTCACAGGGCCCTGGGCTGCTCAGGGACTGGTCCCTGGCTCAGGAACGTGGCTTTATGGCCTATGGGTAGTAACAGGATTTAAAAATCTCTTAGGTGATTTATTATTATTTTGTTGTTGTTAATCCTCACCCAAGGATATTCTTTTTTTTTTTTTTATCCTCACCCGAGGACACTTTTTCCATTTTTTATTCAGATAGTGTGGGAGGGAGAGAGAGAGAGAGAAACATCGACGTGAAAGGGACACATCGAGTGGTCGCCACCCACACGACCCAACCAGGGCTGGGGACAAACTGTAACCGAGGTACGCGCCCTTAGCGGGAACCGAACCCGGGTCTCTCTGGACCGCAGGCCGACGTTCCAACCGCTGAGCCAAACCGGCCAGGACCCAAGGATATTCTTTTCATTCATTTTTAGAGAGACGGGAACGGAAGGAGAGAGGGGTGAGAGAGAGAGAAATATTGATGTGAGAAAGACACATCAATTGGTTGCCTCCCACATGTGCTCCAACCCGGGCCAGGGATGTAACCTGCAACCCAGGTACATGCCCTTGACCAGGAGTCAACCCAAGACCCTTCGGTGCACAGTCTGATGATCTAACCACTGAGCAACACTGGCCCGGGCTGTGCGTGTATCTTTATCCACATATCCGTCGACAAAGACATTGTTTCCATATCTTGACTATTGTAAAACCTGCTGCAATGAACACGGGGTGGGGGGTGCAGACCCTTATTTGAGCGGGTGATTTGGTTTCCTTTGGCTACACACCCAGAAGTGGGGTTGCTGGGTCCCGTGGCAGCTCTGTTTTTACTTCCCATAACGGCTGCCCCGATTTACGTGCCCACCAACAGCGTGAGGCTGCTGCGTTCTGGAAGCACGTTTCGCCAGCTTCCACTGCGCTCTGACGGTGTCCGTCGCCCCCGCAGGCATCTTCAGGAGCTCCTGCTACATCGACGTGCGCTGGTTCCCCTTCGACGTGCAGCAGTGCGACCTGAAGTTCGGGTCCTGGTCCTACGGAGGGTGGTCGCTGGATCTCCAGATGCAGGAGGCAGATGTCAGCGGCTACATCCCGAACGGAGAGTGGGACCTCATGGGTAAGCCCGCGGGGGCGCGAGCCTCGGGTTAGGAAGGAGCTGCTTTGTCCTGTGCTTGCCTGGGAGTTCGGGATTTTCCACTCTGCTTTCAGTGTGAGTATTTATTGTGCCCTGCAGCACTCTCCGTGATTTATCGAGAGCTACAGGATTAGAAACAAAAGCAATTAGAAAATGCAGTGCTTCCCATGAGGAGCTTGCTGAGACATTTCAATGAGCCAGTGCTGCTATAGGCATCCGTACATCATTCCCGTCTTCGGCTCCTAAAATCGTGTTGGATAGCAAATGGCATTTATAGTGGTGTGAAGTTTATAACGTGTCATTTGTAATCATGGTGTCTCAGCCTGCTCTTGCTGCTGTAACAGAACGCCACAGACCGGACGGCTTCCAGACAACAGATATTTACTTCTCACAGTCCCGGGGGCTGAAAGTCCCAGCTCAAGGTGTCAGCACACTTGGTGTCCGGTGAGGGCAGCTTCCTGGTCCACAGATGGCTGTCTTCTCGCCGTGTCCTCACAGGGCAGAGGGGGCAGGGGACTCTCTAGGGCCTCCTTTTTAAGGGTGCTAACCTCATTCATGAGGGCCGCACCCTCCTGACCGAATAACCTCCCAGAGGCCCCACCTCCTAATACCATCCCATTAGGGGTTAGGTTTTAGGGGACACAAATATTCAGTCTACAGCACATGTAATTCCAATCCATCAGAAAAAAAAACAAAACATACTATGCAGCTGTAAGAAAGAAAGATCTCTTATCCTTTGAGGTGACATGGAGGGACCTGGAAAGTATTATCCTAAGTGAAACAAGTCAAACAGAGAAAGACAAGTATCATATGATCTCAGTTATCTGTGGAATATAATGAACGTAACAGTCTGAGGAATGGGGTAGACCCAGAGACATAGGAGTGGGGTACAGACTGACAATCCCCAGAAGAGGGGGTGGTGGGGGAGAGATAAACCACAGAACTTACATGCATGTATGCATGAACAATGGACATGGACAACAAAGCTGGGGACGGGTGGGGAGGGAGGGAGAGGGGGGAATCAGTGGGGGGGAAAGGAGAAACATCTGTAACAAAAATTAATTAATTTAAAAAACAAACAAAAAACACCTGCTAGTTTGTTCAACTATCCCTAAGACATTCCTAAACAACTCTATGAAACACTCTAGGAAGGGTTCATTCAAACACTGATTACCCAATTTTTTCAGCACATACATTCCATGGCCGTGTTTGTGTGTGATAGCTGTTAAAATAAACGAACAGGGAGATTTCATTTGAACGATGGTTCCTTTCCTCCCTGTCCTGGAGGAATCCCGGGCAAGCGCAGCGAGAAGTTCTATGAGTGCTGTAAAGAGCCGTACCCCGACGTCACCTTCACGGTGACCCTCCGCCGCAGGACCCTCTACTACGGCCTCAACCTGCTCATACCCTGTGTGCTCATCTCTGCCCTGGCCCTCCTGGTCTTCCTGCTGCCCGCAGACTCCGGGGAGAAAATCTCCCTCGGTAAGTGCCTGTCTTCGGTGGGAGTCGGCGGGGACTGGAGGGCTCGGCCTGGAGTTCAGCACCGTGGACAGCGCAGAGCTCTGCGCGCTCTGGTGGGACGTCCCAGGGTCTATGGGAGAAGCCAGGACAGGCTCCTCATGCCGGTTGGTTCTTCTGCTCCATGCCATGCCCTCCCGAGATAGCCTACATGGAGGATGGGAACACCCAGGAGGGGCCAATTCTTCCCTGGGGGGCCTGGGTTTTCTTCCCCTCTTGCCACCTCATTCCGCTTTTGGGGGGCCAGCAGCCAGTATGCGGTGTGTACAGGAAATACTTTAGGTTAATTCATGATCAGCTTGCTTTTGCAAATGGTCCTACTCAGTGTAATTCCCGAGGGCATCCAATAGGAAGATACTTTAAGATTTAGAATGGCAAAATGAGTTTCTCAAATTCTCAGAGTTGCCAAAGAGTGTGTTCAGGACATGCAGCAATCACCCTCAAACCCTTACCTCCTGAACAGGAGGTGGGGGCATGTCTGGGGACTCCTCCAAGGTCGCTCAGCTACTAAGTAACCAAGTCAAGCCTTCAAGCTGGCTGTGGAACTTTCTCCTGCCTCATGTGACTACCTCGCAATGTTAATGTAATAAAGAAAACGAGATGCGTATGCTAACGTCAGTGATTCATTTTGGGTTGTCCTTCTGAAGTTCTGCTCCTAAGTTTGACTTCACCAGGGACTTCTCTGGAATGCTGGTAAATGACATCACTGTCCCCAGAGAAACGCCCATAAATACAGAAAACCAGGTACTTGGTTTCAGGGGTGTCTTAGACATCACCTGCCTCTCCCTGTGCCCACTCTAGTTCTTTGGATCTCAGGTTAGGACTCCCTGTTAGATGGAACTGAGGTCTCATGGTCGGTCTGTCTCAGTCGCCCTGTGTTTTTGTTTCAGGGATAACAGTGTTGCTCTCTCTCACCGTCTTCATGCTGCTGGTGGCTGAGATCATGCCTGCGACGTCTGACTCCGTGCCCTTGATAGGTGAGGCAGCAGCAGCTCCTTTCGGAGACTCGGCCCTAAAGGGGCCCAGGACTTCCTGGCAAAGGCAGGGAGCAAAGTGTCCTCCGGCCATGGAGAGGCCGATCAAGGAATGCCTCCCTGTCCCAGGCTTCGTCCTCGGCCCTTGGCCCAAAGAACTGCTCATTCCTGCACCAACCCTGCACGAAGGCATTTCCGTCCCTGTTGTACTGGTCAGTGAGCTGAGGCCCCGAGAGACTGAGCTGCTGTCCGCACTCACCGATGGCAGCCAGTAGACCAAAGGGGAGCTCTTTCAGAAGCTCTGTGCTGCTTCTCCCCTGGGCCAAGGCGGAGACACGCATCCCCAACAATCAGAGCCCAAGCTGATGTCCTCAGCCTGAACAGAACTGCTACTGACCACTTTCTCTGGCTGGACAACTGGCGCCCCCTAGTGTCTCTGAGTAGATGGGGTCAGAATCATCTTCCACACTAATCCCCTAAGTCCCCAGCCCTACTAGGACAGCTAGGTGATGCCCAGGTTTGCCCTAGTTACACCCCCAGCACGTCCGTGCCCTGCAGTCATCCAGTGGTGGCCACACTCGCCATCCAGCTGTTTTTAGTTGCAATAATGGTCCACCTGTTTTCTCGTGGGAACAACCTCATCACCATCCTGCAAGGAGCTGTTAAGTCCCATTGCAGGAGGAGGCAGGGTTCACAGTCGGCTACGGCAAGGCGGGTCTTTGTGCACTGGGCTGGCCTCATGCCTGTAGGGGGTGGGCTGCAGACCTGAAGGCAGCCCCGCTCCACCCCCACCCCCCACAGTCCCAAACAGCCAGAGAACGTGGTCTGGGTCCACCCTCCCCCAGGCTGGGCCTTAACCTGCGCCTGTTCTCTCCACAGCCCAGTACTTCGCCAGCACCATGATCATCGTGGGCCTCTCCGTGGTCGTCACGGTGATTGTGCTACAGTACCACCACCACGACCCCGACGGCGGCCAGATGCCCAAGTGGGTAGGTTCCTCCTGACCTCCCCCGCAGCGAGTCAGGGCCCCTCCCCAAAGCAGTCCACGGATGGCTCATCTAGTTTACAAGTTTTCACCAGCAGCTGTGTGCCTACACCGAGAGCTGTGCTTCTCCTGTGACCTCACTTGTCTGCGTGTCTCCGCCTGGGGCCGGCGATGGTGGCATGCTCCTAGGGTCCCACACACTGTTCTTACAACCTGACGCCCAGCAGGGCTCACGCGCAGACTGCCCTGTGTTTTGCTAGCGCAGTGATTTTATATGTTTTTATTGATTTTTTTAAAGAGAGGAAGGGAGAGATAGAAACATCGATCAGCTGCCTCCTGCACGCCCCCTACTGGGGGTCGAGCCCACAATCTGGGCATGTGCCCTGACCGGGAATCACTGGGACTTCTCAGTCCGCGGGACAGTGCTCAGTCCACTGAGCACACCGCCCGGGCCTAGCACAGCGATTTTAAACTTACTTTTTGTGCATGTGCCACAGAGAACTGTGCAGTGGTCAGCTGCAACGAGATGTGGTCGGATCTTCCAGAAAGAAAATAATAGTGTGAGCTGTGCACAGAAATATACATTCACGACACCAGGGATGTGATCTAACCCAAAGCCTAAAAAATACAGCTCGCAGTTCCCAGTGGGAAAGGGGGTGGGGTGAAAGGAGACGGACGAGAAAGAAAGGACTGAATACAACGGCCTGTCCTCTTAGCCGGGTCAGCCCTCCTCCCCAGCACCTGCTGAGCATGCGTAGTGTGCTGTCTGCTGCTGTTCCCACCTGCTCTGCTCCGTTCCAGTCACTGTCCACAGCTCCACACCCACCCTCGCTCACATTCAGGAAACCAGGACGAGGGCCAAGCAGGACCTGGGCTTTGGACACCTCACCATGGTGTGACAAAACCCAAGGCAGAGGAGGGCTGTCCCCAGCTGCTTCTTACCTGGACCCTGCAAACCTCCGGGTCCTCCTGTGCAGAGAGGGAGGCCTAGGGAGAGTTGAGAGCTAACGCAGCCCTTTGTGTCAAAATGAGCCTGTCTTTAGACCCTTACGTCCAAGATCAGAGGACCCTTATGTCCTTATGTCTAGGACTCACCAACATGGTAAATGCAGTAGTAAGATATCAGATTCCAGGAACAGGGAGTTCTGGGCCTTCTAACAACATTCACTGTGCAATAATTTACAGTTACACCAAGTTAACATAGGGACAGCCACTATTTTTGATTATTTTAAACAATGTATTTATTTATTTTTGTTACAGATGTTTCTCTTTTTTCCCCCATTGACACCCTCCTCCCAATCCCTCCCACCCACCCCCAAACATTATTGCCCATATCCTTGTTTACACATACATGCGTAAAAGTTCTGTGGTTTCTCTTCCCTCCCCCCACACCCACCTCTTCTGAGGTTTGTCAGTCTGCACCCCACTTCCGTGTCTCTGGGTCTATTTTGTTCCTCAGCTTGTTTTGTTCATTATAATCCACAAATAAGTAAGATCATGTGATATCTGTCTTTCTCTGACTGGCTTAGCAAAATACTCTCAAAGGATAAGAGATCTTTCTTACAGCTGCATAGTACTCCATTGTGTACATGTATTACAGCTTTTTTATCCACTCATCTACTGATAGACACTTGGGCTATATCCAGATCTTAGCAATTGTAAATAGTGCTGCTATGAACATAGGGGGCTATATCCAGATCTTAGCAATTGTAAATAGTGCTGCTATGAACATGGGGGTACATATATTCTTTCTGATTGGTGTTTCAGGCTTCTTAGGATATATTCCTAGAAGTGGGATCACTAGGTCAAATGGCAGTTCAATTTTTAATTTTTTGAGGGAACATCATATTGTTTTCCATAGTGGCTGCACCAGCCTGCATTCCCACCAGCAGTGTATTAGAGTCCCCTTTTCTCCACGCCCTCGCCAACACTTGTTTGATGATTTGTTGATGGCGGCCATTCTGACAGGTGTGAGGTGATAACTCATAGTTGTTTTAATTTGCATCTCTCTGATGATTAGTGATGTTGAGCATTTCTTCATATGTCTCTTGGCCATTTGTATGTCCTGTTTGGAGGGGTGTCACTTTAGGTCCTCTGCTCATTTTTTAATTGAGTTCTTTGTCTTCCTTTCGTTGAGTTGTGTGAGTACTCTATATTGGAAATTCACCCCTTATCTTATGTATTGTTGGCAATTATGCTCTCTCATATAGTGGGTTCCCTTTCTATTGTGATGGTTGTTTCTTTTGCTGTGCAGATTTTTAGTTTGATGTAGTCCCAAATATTCATTTTTTCCTTTATTTCTATTGCCTTAGGCATTGTATCAGTTAAAATTCTGCTGCATGTGATGTCTGAAATTTTGTTGCCTGCATTTTCTTCTAGGATTTTTATGGATTCGTGGGTCACATTTAAGTCTTTTATTCATTTTGAGTTTATTCTTGTGTATGGTGTAAGTTGGTAGAGAACTACATGCAACTTAATAAGAATTATGAAGAGCTCAGTGGGAACTATATAAGCTTTAAGAAAGAGGTAGAAGCTATGAATAAAAGTTGAGAGGAAATAAAGAATGACATAACTGTTATGAAAAATACCTTAGAAGGATTCAATAGTAGATTAGAAGAAGCTGAAGACCAAATCAGTGAGTTAGATGACAAGGTAGAAAAAAACACCCCAATAGAGCAAGAAATGGGGGAAAAAAAAAAAAGCAGGAGAGTTTAAGGGAGCTTTGGGACAATACAATACATAACAACATTCGCATCATAGGGGTACCGGAAGGAGAAGAATCAGAGAAAGGAATAGAGAACCTGTTTGAAGAAATAATGACAGAAAACTTCCCTAAATTGGTAAAGGAAAAAATCACACAAGTCCAGGAAACACAGAGAGTCCCAAGCAAGATGAACCCAAAAAGACCCACAGCTAGACATGTCATAATTAAAATGGCAAACATTAAAGACAAAGAAAGAATCTTAAAGGAAGCAAGAGAGAGACAGAAAGTTACCTACAAGGGAATTCCCATTAGACTGTCAGCTGATTTCTCAATAGAAACACTGCAGGCCAGAAGGGAGTGGCATGAAGTATACAAAGTAATGAATGGCAAGGGTCTGAATCCAAGACTATCTTTGATAATTTTTTATTTTGTAAATTTGTAGCATATGTACTTTTAAAGTTTGGCAAAGCTTGAAACTGTAGTAAGACTTTACAGCATTATTTACAATCACCAAGATATGCAGCAGCCTAAATGTTCATCAATGGATGGATAAAGAAGTGGTATATTTATTTATTTATTTATTTATTTATTTATTTAATAAAATATATATATTATATAAAATAGATATAGATATAGATATAGATGGAAAAAGACAAGTACCATATATTTCACTCATATATGGAATCTCAAAAATCGTGGCTTTAAGTTACTGTGTCCTCATAGACCCTTTTCCATGACAAATGTTTACACTTCATAATGACTCTCTCATAGCTCATAGCTTCAGCAGTAGTGTGAGCATCCTTAAATGGGGCTACCATGTCGCCCAGTCCCTGGGCTTGTTTGGAGAAGGTCCCCTCCCTAAAAGCTGGGACACATTTGTACACGGTCATCTACGTTTTTGTCTGGCTTTCTTATAACCCTGCCACCCACCCATCTGTTTGAAATAGGGGATCCACTCGCATGTTATAAAAGTGAAGCTGCACATAGGGAAATGCTGCCCCCATCCCTGCCCCTCACCCTCCTTCCACCACAACACTAGAACCATTCGAATGAATCCCTTCTTTTCCTTCCACTGTTTGTTTACGCAAATGTCAACACATATTCTTATTTCTTATGTTTGGACTGATGCAAAACACAAGAAAATGAAGACCAAACCATTTTTGATGACCTAGTAATGCTTGAATGTTCCAGAAAAAATTTTTAATTAAGAGCAATAATTATTCAAACCAATGGCTGCAAACAAAATATGAAGCTTGTATCCCTCTCATTTTACCTACAACACTACATTTTCCTCTCTTTCCAAGTGCACTTCAAACATAAACAGCCTCCAAGGGACTTTTATTATGATCTGTGGCTATGAAGAAGACACCACCGAGCGCAGTGACATTATGTGACATTTGCACAGCCAGAAACAAAACTGTAACCTAACAGAGGAGGTCATGAGCACAGTTTGATAAGTGCCAAGAGGATAATTTCATCTTGTGAGACGCTTTAGCCTTGAAATCTAATGATTCAGACCATGGAATTTAAAATCCACTTGGCAGTATGGATCATATTAGCTGGAGATGGGCCCCAATGGACGTGCAGAACCGCCACATGGTGGGAGAAGCTGCTGGCTGCCTCTGGTCTGGACACACTCACGCCCACCGTGCTCCCTCGAGCTCTGGCCCAGGCTTTCTGGTGCCTTCTGGGTGAGGGTGGGCTGCAGACCCGGGGCTTAGGGAAAGAGCCCTGTAGACGCTTTCCCGGATCAGGCTGCACAAGTCTACATACATTAGGTGACTCAATCCTTATGAGATCCTGAGCCAAGGCACAAACTTCTTTGAACCAGAGCTTCTTTATCTGAAAATGGGAGCATATGCTGACTTTGCAGAGCCTTAAGGCCCACGTGACATGGGATGTCTGGTGAGCCTCCAGGGGAGGGCCAACGTGGCCTGAAGATTTATGTGGAACAAATGTCTCTGCTCCTGCGAATCATGGGAAACCCTCCAGGGCCAGCAGACAGCCTCTCCGGGCTCTGGAGGTGGTCATGGGAGGGGGGCAGGATCAGAGCACCACCGGCTGTGACCAAAGGGTAACTTTCCTGTTCTTCTCACGGCCTGTCTCTATGCTGGTCGACTGCGGTCATCTTCGACGTCACAAAAACGATTACCGAGGGAGTGCAGCAGACACAACCTCACAACGCACGGCCGTCCACATGGACAGAAGCGTGCCTGCTGAGTTGCCGGTGGGAGGTGCCCGCCATCATAAACCGAAATGAGAACAAAAGCAGTATTTGGATGATTTCAGGGAAAGGGCCCACTTTTCAGGTTCTTGTCTAAACAGGCTTGCAACAAAATGCTTTTCTTGACCTGGATTGAGGCTCCAGATGGCTCCCTTCTTTCCATGAGAGGGGAGAACAAGAGCATGATTTCTCTGCCGTGTCTTCTATGCACATGGGCAGCACTTTAGATCAGAGGTCAGCAAACTATGGCCCTGGAGGCCAAGGGAGTCCACCAGGTGCTTTCACAAATGAAATGTTTTTATTGTTGTTAGTCCTCAAGGATATATTTTTTTTTTTCATTTTAGAGACAGTGGAAGAGAGGGAGGGAGAGGGAGAGAGAGTGAAAGAGAGAAACATCGACGTGAGAGAGACACACTGAATGGTTGCCTCCCACACATGCCCTGATTGGGGCTGGGGATTGAACCTGCAATCCAGGGAGGTGCCCTTAACTGGGAATCAAACCCGAAACACTTTGGTGCTCGGGCTGATGCTCTAACCACGGAGCCCTGCTGGCCAGGGCTACAAATTAAATCTTACGAGAAAACAGTCTGCCTGCGTTTCACAGGCTGTTTATGGCTGGTTGTGCGCCGCATCAGCAGAGCCAAGCACAGACAGATTTCATGGCCCACAAGCCAATGTGTTTACTACCTGACCCTGTACAGAAAGGCTCACAAGCCCTGCCTCAGACTTTCTAAGTCCGTCCGTGCATGTGCTCCTGCTCAGTGCTCCCACAGCCTCACGAGCTGACTCCTGAACTCCCTTGGCTAGTGCATCTTTAGTGTCTGAGGATTTGTTTTTCCCACAGAGCCTCTATGGCAAAAGAAATACCTAATAGTTCTGTTTATTAAATATGTCAAAACAGCCCTGGCCGGGTAGATCTGGTAGTTGGGAACGTTGTCCCATATATCAAAAGGTTGCGGGTTCGATCCCTTGTCCAGGGCATATGGGAGGCCACTGATTGATGTTTCTCTCTCTCTCTCCCCCTTCCTTTCTAAAGTCAATAAAAAAAATATATGTCCAGCCCTGGCCGGTTTGGCTCAGCGGTTAGAGCGTCCGCCTGCGGTCCGGAGAGACCGGGTTCGGTTCCCGCTAAGGGCATGTACCTCGGTTGCAGTTTGTCCCCGGCCCTGGTTGGTCGTGCGGGTGGCAGCCACTCGATGTGTCCCTTTCATGTCGATGTTTCTCTCTCTCTCTCTCTCTCCCCCTCCCACTCTGTCTGTACAAAAATGCAAAAATGTCCTCGGATGAGGATAAAAAATACATATATATATATATATATATCTCCAAACAACAAGCCTTGCCAACTTTGCAGCTGTTGGCCCAGCACAATCTGGGGAGCACAGTACCCCCATTTTCTATTTCACATTGCTGACTTTCTCTGCACCTGCTTTTAAACTAAAAAACTGGCCCTGGCCAGTTTGGCTCACCAGTTAGAGCCTTGGCCTTCGGACCAAAGGGTTGTGGGTTCGATTCTGGTCAAGGGCACGTACCTCAGTTGTGGTTCAGTCCCCGGCCCTGGTCAAGATTGTGTGGGAGGCAACCAGTCGATGTGTCTCTCTCACATCGATGTTTCTCTCTCTCTCCCTCCCATTCTATCTGAAGATAAATGGACAAATATCCTCGGGTGAGGATTAAAAACAAACAAAACCCCCAGCTTTGCCACGATACGACATCATTGCAAAGGGTGCAGCGATCTGAGATCACAGTCTGAACTGCTTCAAACTAGGGGTTCAGCCGCATGGGACAGAGGTCACTGGGCTGCCCTTGTGAAGTTAACATCTCTGGGCCACCCCTGAGTTTGTTGTGGTGCTCTGGGGGCCTCACAGAGTTAGCTTTGATGGTCCCTGGCTACAGGTAAGGAAGGATCAGAGAGGGAAACCCACTTGCCCTGTTCACACAGCTCGGGGCTCTTTCCAAGGGACAGACTAATCAAATCCACATGCTGTCTTCCCTGAGACCGCAGTGTGCCCCCCACAGAGAACCCAGCTCCTTCCCAGGAGGATGTGGGCCCCCCACCGCGGGTGCACGAAGCTGGTATTGTAGGATGGCACTGGCTGGCGCCTGCTTCCCTGCAGCTTCTAATGGTCCATTGTGTCTCCCAGACCAGGGTCATCCTCCTGAACTGGTGTGCCTGGTTCCTGCGCATGAAGAGGCCGGGGGAGGACAAGGTGCGGCCGGCCTGCCAGCACAAGCCGCGCCGCTGCAGCCTGGCCAGCGTGGAGATGAGCGCAGTGGCCGGGCCGCCGGCCGCCAACGGCAACCTGCTCTACATCGGCTTCCGCGGCCTGGACAGCATGCACTGCGCCCCCACCCCGGACTCGGGGGTCGTGTGCGGCCGCCTGGCCTGCTCCCCCGCGCACCTGCACGACGAGCACCTCCTGCACGGGGGGCCGCCCTCCGAGGGGGACCCGGACCTGGCCCAGATCCTGCAGGAGGTGCGCTACATCGCCAACCGCTTCCGCGGCCAGGACGAGAGCGAGGCCGTGTGCAGCGAGTGGAAGTTCGCCGCCTGCGTGGTGGACCGTCTGTGCCTCATGGCCTTCTCCGTCTTCACCATCATCTGCACCATCGGCATCCTCATGTCGGCGCCCAACTTCGTGGAGGCTGTGTCCAAAGACTTCGCTTAGGGGCCCTGGTCCCCAGCCTGCAGGAGACGCACAGACAGGTGGTGGCAGTGGCTTGGGGGAGCCAATCACTGTCAGTCATGTTGGTGACAGTTCATCTGTGGCTTTCAGTAATAGGACGTCAGTACATTTTTGTTTAATCCTTTCAGATGGGCTGTAGGATATCCTTGGAACATCCTTCCTTAGGGTCAGTGAAACCCCTGAAAAGTCACTGTGCCTGTCGCCGGTTTCCTGGGGAGCCCCACAGAGAGGCGGGGTGGCCAGGACTGCCAGGGAGGCTCAGTCGCTGGTTTTGCATGCCTGCACGTCACTCGCCATGAAGGCCGACGTGACAATTCCTCGTCTGCTTTTGCCTGTGCACAAACCTAGATTGGAACTAATCATAATAAACCACACTCACTAAGTCCACTCCGATAACTGACTAGTGAAAGGAATCCACACTAAAACGAGGGACCTGACTGCTGGTTTTTTGACACTTCGGATTTTTTTTTGACCAGACAGTTAGTAAAGAGAAATCGTTTTGTGCTGTTTCAATGTTTCAAAAAAGACAGAGTCAGTCTTGTCAATTATCCCTTGCCCACCCTGATTTCTGCCACCCTGCCTTGTCCAGGGAAGGACCAGACCCACGAGAGACAGGGAGGTTTCTGCAGTTTCCAGGCCACTTCCAAGCTGTGTGGCCCCAGACACTGGGGAGCTGAGTGAGTCTGCTCTACTCTGCAAAACCCAAAGGACAGGAGAGTTCTATTACAATCACCAGCCCACTGTAATATCCAAAGTGAAATTAAACCATCTATTAAAAAAGAAGGCATCAAATGTATTCACAAATGCTGGAGTGGATTAGTCTTAGATATCTGTGGATCCACGCAAATGCACACTATACAGTGAAAGTGTTCTCTGATTTTTCTCCGAGTGTCAGGACCAGGGCACAGGGGCCAGGACTCTGCTTGCTCCCTGTGTGGCAGAAACAGGAGGGGATGGTGTGGCCATGGCTTTCATGGATGACAGGCCAGTCAGGGATGGCGACACAGTCAGTACCTTGGGGTTCCGGCTTTTGGGGATCTGTTTCCCCACAGCTCATCCACCCAGCTCAGCCCAGAAAGCTGGTGAGTGAGTGGGATCCCTGCAGATGTGTTTTGAAAGCAAAGAAAGCTTTAATTTTAAACTTACATGGTAACAGAATTCATCACTTATTTCCATATTTCTTATTTTTTATTAATATCAGAGGGAGACACAGGAAAATACCTCCTGTGTTCTACTATTTCATCCAGGAACTTCTCAGAGCTAGAAACTGCAGCATGCTTTGAGCCCCTAGAATCTTTCATTTGTACTCCTGAAATGAGTACAACATGAGCAAAGATTAGATTTTTCAGAGCAAAAGAAACTGCATGCATTTTTCTAGCCATTTATTTCACTTATTTCTGGGTAATGCACATGGATTTATTTGCACCGAGGAAGATGGTCATGTGCACATGCTGTGTGTGCAAGTGTATGTGTATGTATGTGTGTGGGGTGTGTGTGTGTGTCAGCGTGTGTGTATGTGTGTGGTGTGTATGTGTGGTGTGTGTTTGGTGTGTATTTGCATGTGTGTGTGCATGTGTGTGTGCATGTGTGTGCACATGTGTGTGGGGTGTGTGGGGGGGTGTGTATGTGTGTGCACCTGTGTGTGGGGTGTATATGTGTGTGCACATGTGTGTGGGGTGTGTGTGGATGGGTGTGGTGTGTGGATGGGTGTGTGTGTATATATGTGTGTGTGGTATGTGTGGGTGTGCATGTGTCAGTGTGTATTTGTGTGTCAGTGTGTATTTGTGTGTGGGGGTATGCATGTGAGTATGTGTGTATGTGTGGGTAGGTGGGTGTGTTTGTGTGTGTATGTGTGTGCATGCATGTGCATGGGTGGGTGTATGTGTGTGTGGTGTGTATGTATGTCGGTGTGTATTTGTGTTTGGGGGTATGTGTGTGTGTGTGTGTGTGTGTATGTGTGTAGTGTGTATGTGTGTGGGTGTGTGTACATGTATGTGAGTGTGCACACTTGTGTGTGGGTTCAGAGAGGACACCTGGTTTACAACAAAATTGATAAATGAGAGCACCCCCTCATCCCACTGTCCTCAGAGTTTATCCATTCTCTCTTTTTTTCTATTAAGCTACCATCAGAAACAAATAGAATGTTTTGCTATATAAAAAGAATGCTTCATTTCTTCTTGCTATCTGAAAGTTGATCCCTACTACATTTTTTGCTTTTGAAAAAAATGCCTTTTTGGTTTTGTATTTTGTAGAGAAAAACAGACAAGCGAACACAAATAATTCATATTTTGATCATCCAAATAACTACTCTGCCATTTAAAAATGTAATAAGGAAGAGATGGACATGTAGTTAGAAAAGTGAGTGGCTAAAAACAACAGCCTTTGTCTTAATTAATTCGCCTGTGTGCTTTGGAACCTTTCTGTCCCATGTCTTGAAATATTTTTATTTATTTGTCTTTTGATGTGATTGACTGGTTGGCATCTAGAGAATGTAAAGTTTTATGTTGTCAATTTATCCTATTTTCCTTTGTAGATCCTGGAATTTGTTTCTAGTTTTAAAAGACATTCCCCATTCTAAGATTATAAATAAACTCACTCATATTTTCTTCTAAATCCTCATGGTTCCATTTGTTTACACCTTGGAATTCCCTGGAATTAATATATTGCGGGTAATGGAGGTAAAGTTGCTATTTTTCCCCAAATGGTTGGTCACTTGTGCCAATAAAATATATAACAGTGTGCTCCGCCAGTGTGGCTCAGTGGATTGAGCATCATCCCCTGGACTGAGAGGTCCCAGTTCAATTCCTGATCAGGGCACATGCCTGGGTTGCGGGCTCGATCCCCAGTAGAGGGCGTGCAGGAGGCGGCCAAAAGATGTATCTCTCACATTGATATTTCTATTTCTCTCTCTAAAAAAAAAATCAATATATACAAAATTTTAAAAATATATATATAACAGTGCATTTTGCTAATACAATTGTAATCCTTCCCCCATTTGTTCAAAATACCACCTTTTTGTAAACTAACTTCCTTTAACTGTTTGGGTCCGTTTCTGTTTTACTCTGTCTCCACGGATGCCTTTAAGTAAGTTTCTGAGCTCTGTTCATATTAGTATCAATACTCATATTAATGTGAGTGTTCTGAAATCAACGCTCCCTTCAGCTAACTCTCTCTCTCTCTGTCTCTCCCCCCCCCCCCCATCTCGCTCCCTCTCTCACACACAATGAATTTATAAAGTGACTCTTTCTATTCAAGAATACTGCAATCCAGACCTGTATTCAAACCCAATTTTATGCCACTGGGGAGGTTTTTATGGTTTTGTTACAATAGGTCCAGGTCCTGTACATTTCTCATTTATTTCCAAATATTTCATCACTTGGCTACCATTTTCAGTGGAATAATTTCTTCCATTTCCTTTTTCTTTTTGGGTCACGTTTTAGTGTGCTCACAACAAGGGTAGACTTAACTATTCCTGGCAGTGATCTTGAATGAATTTAGGCCCATTGTTAGCTTTTATCTTTATTTTCTTTTATACTTCTTGAAGTTTACATTGCTTTGCCGGATATCAGACACTGCTTATCTCGTTACCAATCAGAATTTCCCCCTAAACTATGCACACTGATGTTGATATATTTTCTTTTCATTATGACACGTTTTTATGTGCAGTGTGATCAGAACTGCTCAGTTCAGAACAGCTTCAAGTATCTTCTTGGTTTCCTCTTTGACTCAAGAGTAACAGAAATGTTGACTTATTCCAATTTTTGTGCTTTATTTCAATTTTATCTAACTGATTTCCAATTTTACTCCCCTGTTGTCAGAGAACATGTTTTCTGTCACATCTGACTTTTATAATTCATTGAGATGCTGTTTATGGCCAAGGATATGGTCACACTTTCTAAATATTCCATATGTGTTTGATAATTATGTATCCTAGAGTTCAACATGTTTCCCATGTTTGTACTAAATCAATTTTGGTAACAATAACTGTCACTTGCTAAATATCTTTACTTATATTTTGGCTACTAATTTTGTTTGTTTATTTATCAGTTGAAGTGGACATGTCCAAAACATCACACAATTATTTACAATTTTTCTATTTTCCTTATATTGCTATTACTTAGACTATACATACTTACATATTCTTGGTGAACTGAATGTTATCATAATGAACTAGATTTTTTATTACACCTTTTGCCTTAAAGTCTATTTATTAAAGCCTCTTCTGTGTGCCATTTTTCTTTTGGCTATCATTTGCATGGTATATTTTAACCAACCTTTTACATTTAATTTTCCTGAGATTTTATATTTGTTCATGTCTGTTACGAACAAGCTTATAGTTTTTAAATATGACAATCTTTTTGGTTTAAACATAGAGCATTTGGTCCATTTATATTTAATTATTAATATTTTACTTTTAAATTTACCATGTTATCCATTTATTTTTCTTTCCTTTATAACATTTTTTGGATTGATCATTGTTTAATCGCCATTGTTTGCATATTATATACTGTTCATTTTTATCTTTAATAGTTATGCAAGAAATTACCCAAATTTTCAAAATGTAAAGTTAACCAGACTAGTGTTTAATTTTTTTCTAGATAATACAAAGAAATTGGAACAATTAAATCCATTATATCCTCCTTCTTATGTGTTATTTTCCAGTTTTTAAAGTTCTATCTTTTCCCCCTGGCCAGTCTGGCTCAGCAGTAGAGCATCGGCCCGCGGACCAATGAGTGGCGGGTTCAATTCCGGCCAAGGGCACATACTTCAGTTGTGGTTCATCCCCAGCCCTGGTCGGGGTCATGCAGAGGCAACCAATCGATGTGTCTCTCTCACATCAATGTTTCTCTCTCTTTCCCTCACACTCTATCTGAAGATAAATAGAAAAATATCCTTGGGTGAGAATTTTTTTAAAGAGTTCTATCTTTTCCTTTAACCCCATCAGGTATTTTTTATTGCTTTTATTTATCCACATTTGCCCTCATTCCTTTATAATATATATTTCTTCAGTATAGGGTTTTTGTAGTTTTTTCCCATTCATTTCAAGATATAATCCACTATCTCCTGCTACCATTTGCTTGTCTGTTTGTTGTTTTTTGTGGTTTTTTTTTTTAACTAATATGAGGCTAAGACACATCCTTAAGATAAGAAAAACTAGAATTAAAGCCGTTATCATCCTCCACACTCGGGTGACTATGAGAGAGTTTCCGTTCAATGAGAAGAACAAATGTGATAAGAAGTAAAGGAAAAGCCCTGGCCGGTTTGGCTCAGCAGTTAGAACGTCGGCCCGTGGACCAATGAGTCGCAAGTTCGATTCTGGTCAAGGGCAGGTACCTCTGTTGCGGTTCATCCCCAACCCTGGTCCAGTCATGTGGGAGGCAACCAGTCAATGTGGCTCTATCACATCAATGTTTCACTGTGTGTGTGTCTCTCTGTCCCTCCCACTCTATCTGATGATAAATAGAAAAATCTCCTCGGGTAAGAAATAAAAATAAAAAAAGAAAGAAAGGAGAAAACCCATGTCTTAGGTATTATAAGTAAGACCTCACTTAGGTTTTGCCCAAATTGAGATCACGTGGATTGTCTGGGAAAGCTTCAGCTGTGTTTTCCATTTAGTTGATCGTGTACTAATAATGCCCTTAAGGGGTTGGTGGAAACAGTGCAGATTCTCCCTGGAAAAAAGAACGGAACCCTAGACCTTGGAGAATTCCCAGACATAATTTTCAAAGTTAATGAGAAATACACGAAGGTAACGAAACAGACTAAGGTATAAGGCACTGTGAATGAGAACCTACAGAAACAAGCTCCCAAATAATCCAGTACTGAAATTCTCTGAGAATAAAATTACACTGAAAGAATTGGAGGGCAAGTGTGACTAAATGTGAAAGTAACAGGAACCTCAATAAAGTGACAGTGAAGATTTGAAAAGGTAACATATATTTTCTACATGGGAAAAACAAGCATCCAAACTAAAAACGTCTTGCATGAATTTGGCTGGAGATGGGACACCACACAACAGAAAATTAGTAAATTAGGACACCACTCATGGAAAATTATCCAGAATACTACGTAAGGAATGAAAAGGAGAAAGAAAGAGAGAAAGAGAGGGAAGGAAGGAGGGAAGGAAGAAAGGGAGGAAGGAAGGAAGCGAGGGAGGGAGGGAGGGAGGGAGGGAAAAGCATTTTAAGAGACATGGAGGATAGACTTCCAGGTTCTAATTGATCTTTACATCCCAAGCTAGTTAGAATAAAAATGGAGTCGTCCCTTCGTAATGTTAATGATTTTAGTCGCTTGTATAAGGTGACTCCATTTTATATACTTCCTATCTCCAATCTTTCCTCAATAGTTAAAATAAGAGGATTTCAAGTACTCAAGAGTCAGCTGCACCTGCAGAAGCAGCATCACCCGGCGACGCCAGAGCCCAGCCACCAGGTGGAGCAAGCCCAGCAACCGAAAGAGCTCCCGGGGCATTGTGGGAAATGTAGTCCCCACAGCTCCGCCCCAGGCTTTCCCACTCGTCTCCCTTTTTGAGTCCTAGAAGTCAGCTGACCCTGCTCTGACTCTGCTTGGGCCAAACGGTGCTCCGAGCAGGCCTTGTCTTAGGAATTGGAGGTTCCGTGGGCGCGGAAGAGGAAGAAAGGGTTGGCGGGATGGTGAGAGTCGGGGAACGGGACTCCCACGTGCGCGCCGGCGCTGTGACGAGCGGAGTGCGCATGCGCTCCGGCCAGCTGATCGTCCTGTGATTATCTGTTTGCACTCTCACCTGCTAGAGACTTCGTCCCGCGTCCTTAGAATGCTACGGGTTGGCATCCTTAAGGGGGCTTTGTAAGTCTAACAGGAAGACAAACTAAATGGCCAGGTTCCAAATAACTTTATAAAAGAGGAAAGAAGCAATGGGACTCCAACATTACTGTAACATTCTCCCCCATCGCTTCTTTTGGCCTTTGTTTTTTCTGCCTTCTGGAAACAAAGCATCTTCCTTCCTCGTTCACGGTTTAAAGGCTATACATTTTCCCCCTTAGCGTGGTTTTAGGTGCATCTTAAATGTTTTAACATTTCATCCTGGCCAGTTTGGCTCAGTGGTTGGAGCGTGACCTGCAGACCAATAAGTCATGGGTTCGATTCTGATCAAGGGCATGTACCTCAGTTGCAGTTCCTCCCCAGCCCTGGTCCGGTTGTGCGGGAGGCAACCAGTAGATGTCTCTCTCTCTCTCTGTTTCTCTCTCCCCCTCCCTCCCACTCTATCTGATGATAAATGGAAAAAATGTCCTCAGGTGAGGATTTAAAAAAAAGTTTTAACATTTCATATTTTCATTGTTCCTATGAGACTATTGTCTAATTTTCTTTGTGATTTTTCTATAACTCATAGGTTATTTCAGTGAATTAATGCTCTTGCTTGGGTTCTGCCTTTTAGGCACTCCTGGTATTAGCTGTTCCCTAAGTCCTTCAAGCATTTACTTCTCATGTGTACCCAGTGTCTGTACTTTCCAGATGGAAACATTAGCCTTACATAATACATTTAATATGGCTAGAAATGGAAACTTAGGTATGTTTGAGAAAATTTAGATACACTACATCAATATGAATATGACAAAATTCTGCCAACCACACTTAAGTATACATAGAGCTGAATTCTTGGCACTTGCAGAAAAGCATCTGGAAGATTTCTTTAAAATTTCAGTGTTTGATGACAATATAAGCAACTCAGTGTCATTTTTATCACCAGAGCAATTTTTATACTATCATTGAGTGGCTTGGGAAGCATTTACACCTTTTTATATCCATGATGAACTATCAAATAAGAAAGGCATTTTTTTAGTAACTTTCTGAGCAGATGTGGGTTCCAGTAAACAGCCCACCTCTCCCAGGATGAGCTAGTAGTGTGTTCTATGCACAATCCCATGACAATTACTAGTGATGAAGGGGCAAAAGATACTGTACAGACGTACCAATCAATGAACTTCTTTATTTAAGTAAGATATTTTCTTTCTCCTGGTTTTAAAACTCAACTTATATTTTTTCCAGTTTTATTGAGGTATAATTGATATATAAAATACTGCAAATAATGTATTCAACTTGATGAGCTTGGACTTATGAATAAGAGTTGGAGATAACCGCCTCTGTAAGTTTCAAAATAAAAATCAGTTGATCCATCAGTATGAGAAAATAAGTATTGACTCACCACCTCACACATGCCTGGAACTTCCAACAATGTGTAGATATATTACTGCCATTATGAAGACAGCCAAAAATGAAGTTTGACATGGATAGTAACTTTGGTTGCAGGATTCTTGAGATGATTCTAAAAACCAAAGACAGATACGGACATATCAAAGACTGTCCTTTG